TGATTTCTTTTTTCTGACGTCGAAGATGTTGTCGTCAATAAAGAAGGATGGAGGAGCTAAAGATGGACAGAAAATTATATTCTTTTAAAAGGACGGTATAGAATGGCGAAGGCCAGCCCATTGCAAATAACTAATATTGACTATCTTGTCAGACCAGTGGCTGAGTGCGTCATTTATAGTTAAATCAAAATATAGGTCTTGGATACGAATCACTCCCGCCTCAAAATACTTTTTGTAGAAGACTGGTCTTTTTTCGATACGAATTTCCTTATTATTCCAAATAATATTTTGCCAATCTAAGAACTACTTACTACTTTACTTCAAACTAAATCAATTTGCAAAGGTGCAAAAAGCACAGCAGAGGATTGAAGAAACATCAGATCGATTGAATGTGGAGCTCTTCGGAGCTCGGTCTTCAATTGAAGGTCGGTCGTACGTTGTCTATAAAAGATCCGTCAATTCTAAGCCCGCTCAGCCCCTCCCCCAAGTTTGTTGTTGGTTCTCGCCTTGCTCTGAGGGTTTTTCTCCGGGTACTTCGGTTTTCCTCCCTCCACAAAAACCAACATCTCCAAATTCCAATTCGACCAGGATAGAGGACCTGCATGAAAATCAGCTAAGGCGGATGTGGCTTCCTCTCTAAATATTGTAATTTATTATTTATTTTATTGTTTATTACTTTTCCTGCCCCAACTTTCACCGTTTGTTTTAAATTTCGATTGCCCCCAACATGAAAAGGTAAAACTGGCCGATAAGCCCTGTTTGAGTCCTGCACTTTTCAAGTGAATCCGAGCCCCACTAGAGTCCCCGTGCAGACGAAACATGGCGGAAGGAGGCTTATCTCCAACCCAGATCTCCCACGGCCAAGCAGCAGGGCATATTGAGGTTGATCAGGCACGAACAAACAAATCGATATTCTTCAGTCAGTTAGGGGCTACACAGACTAGACATTTAAATGTCGACAACTATTTGTTATCGACAACCTGCCTGCGTTGCCGGCGTAAACGGGGAAGGGGAAGAGTTAGGGAGGAAAAAAACGGAAGCAAGAAGGAAAGAATTAAGCCGAGGAAGAAGGGAAGAAGGGAAGAAGGGAAGGAGGGAAGGAACGCCTGCTGACATTCTTTAAGAACCGGGATTTTTAAATTACGCCCACCAATTTCGATGTAATCCGATTTCATCAACGGTCAATTACTGTCAACAGGTTCACCAATCAGAAACTAGCGCGCTTATCGGCATAACTGACTTCCTGTAGAAATTTAGTCAATTGAAATTATTTCCTGGAGTGATTAATTATCGAAGAGTAAAAAATGGGAATATCTCAACACTAACAACATTAGAACCATGAGATTATTTTTAGCCTGGAAATGTCCTCTACTCCCATGAAAAGCTCGAAAATATGGAATAAAAATAAGGAATATGGTTGCAATAATCTATGCGGGTTCTGAGCTATAGAGTCTGGTGCAAAAGCGGAGAGCGCCAATTCGAAATTTTATTCAAAAAGTCCAGAACGAGACGGTGTCGGCCGACTGTTGTTCTTCCCTTGGGTTCGCTTTAGGTTCAATGTTTAAAGTTGCCTAAACGTATTTGTAGAGGTTGTGGCCGCAAAATCGGAAACGCCGTAGAATTATACTGTGTTATAATGTAAAGATGGCTGTAACATCGCGATCAAGGAATGCCAAAACTGCTTTGGCTGCCCTTCGGCTGCGAACTGTGTAGCCAGCGTCGCAGACGGAAATTTACCTGTAAGTATTTTGCTGCTAAGTTTACGTTGAAGTGCTGGCGTCGGGTCGAGTCCAAGTTCTTTGTAAGTTTGTTTGTCGTTAACAAGTGCGTCCATTTTGTCAAAGTAGTCAGTCTTGTCCATAACACTGACCGTGACATGTCCTTTGTCGGCTGGCAAGAACGAAAACTGACAAGACTTCAGCGCAATAAAGACAAAAAATGACCGAAAACTGACGATAACTGGGTCAGGAATATTTCTTCCCGTCCGTTAGACAAAATCGAGACTCACGTACTGTCCTACGGACTAAAACACTCAGTGACGCCTAAACGGATACCTACCAAGTCTATTCTATCTAGTGTTGAGTCGGTTCTGTCTCGTCAACGAGACTTATCAGAATCTGCCAAGGATAACATCAGAGGCAGAATTGCTTCCACGGTACAATCAGCCTCCATACCTGACAATAACTTGGCGAAAGACGGACAACAAGCACTGAAACGACTGAAAATTGACATTATTATAATACCAGCCGACAAAGGACGTGTCACTATTCTTATGGACAAGACTGACTACTTTGAAAAAATGGACGCACTTGTTAACGACAAACAAACTTACGAAGAACTTAAACGCGACCCGACGCCAGCACTTCAGCGTAAACTTAACAGCAAAATACTTACGCTTAAAAAGACTGACGCTATTGACACACAACGCTACTATCGACGAGGTGCTCAGTACCACAACCACCGAAATTGTACGGACTACCGAAACTGCACAAACCTGGTATACCGATGCGACCTATAGTCTCATCAGTTTTGTGGGTCCCCTACGTGTCAACTGTCTAAGTATTTGACGACCATACTGCCCGGGGGGTACTCCCAGAAAACTTGGGTTGGGGTGTGCGGCCCACTTCCCAAAACCCTTACCCTATTTATGACCAAACTCTACAATTTTTGCTGCCCTATTTATGACCTGGCCAAAAATTCGATACGTTATTTATGACGGTTGCGGCTGGCACAGTTGCCCTAAACATAACTTATGAAGAGCTTTTGTCGACGGTCCTATTGATAGTGATGAAAAAGTAGCTTCTTCTAAGAAACATACCCAATTTATGGCCAGAGTACTAAAACAATACCCTATTTATGACCGAAACGGCTGAAAAACCCTACCCTTTGGNGTACTTGACGACCATACTGCAACCCCTTACTGACAAATCAAGACGCAAACTACAATCTACGGAGAACTTTATTGACACTATTAAGACAGTACAGATACCTGACGACTACAAACTTGTGTCTTTTGATGTGAAATCACTGTTCACCAGTATTCCTCTTCAATTACCTTTACAGTGTACCGAGACCGCCATACAGCAATCTACCGCTACCGACAAAAGAATGATTATGGACTTACTGAACGTTTGCCTTACATCGACTTACTTTCAGTACAACCGTAAACACTACAAATAGTTGCATGGAACAGCCATTGGGTCGCCTGTTTCTGTTGTTGTCGCAGAAGTTGTGCTGCAGCACGTGGAGAAAAGCACATGGCCTGCTACGCAGGCTAATCGACAACTAAAAACGTAGTGTGTTAGATGAGTTGTCGACAACTAAACGCTAAATGTTTAGTCAACAACTAAGCAGTTTTCCTTTTCGAAAAGGGAAACTGCTTTAGTTGTCGGCAACCACGTTTTCGACCGTTTTTCTCGTGTGTGGGAGTCATTGGTTAGTTGTCGACAACTAACGAAACTGTGTTGTCAATGGACAGTGGTTTGAGCATGCGTATTGTGTTTTGAACATGCATAGCGAACGTTAGTTCCCAAGACCCTTAGTTATCGACAATTGACACTTCAATGTGAGGAATGCTCGCCGCATTGGACAAAATTAGTTGTTCATAACATTTAGTTCTCGAAACAAACAGTTGTCGACGACTGAATGTCTAGTCCGTGGAGGCCCTTAGTCCCCTATGCCTGGGCGCCATGTTAGAATTTATCGGCATATTGTACCAATTGTTGTCTTTCAATTAACAAAAGCGAAGAAAAATTCGAAAAGCAAAAATTAGAATAGTTAAAACCTTCAGCTAGCAACCGTTCACAAAAATGTACTAATTGGCTAATAACACAGTTTCGTTTCCTACGAAGGGCTCAAGACAAACAAAAGGTGATACAAGTTGAAAATGGCCGCTGTTGCAATAGAATTCACAGAAGAGCAACTGAACTACTACAGAATCTGTTACGTTGCCACTGACATAATAACTGAGGGTCTCCGATCAATTTTCAAGCAAGAATGGGATAATCGCTACAAGACGACGTTAGGAGAATGGAAAGATGAACCCAAAAATGGAATGGACTTCAAAAACGGGGAGTCTCCAGGAAACCAGAGAAGAAATGCCAAACTCCTAGCTACCATGATTAACGGAGACAGAGCAGAATGGGATTGTACCATGCTTTTTTACGCCATTCTTTACTCCGATTGTGTCGGTCACCGTCTCAATCCAGTGGTCAAATCAAACGTAGATGGTCTCAGAAAGTTTAGGAATAAAGAGTTTGCTCACATGGCTAAAGGTCACCTCTCGGATCCAGACTTTCAAATTGCCATTGCTAAAGTTGATGCTGCATTTCAAGGGCTTGGTCTCTCTATCTTGCAAATTCAAGACATCAGAGATCAAAGAAGTTTTCCAACAGAGGAGCTAGGAAGGGTCTTGAGAAAGGTTAATGACCTGAGACAGGAACTTCAAGAAAAGGAAAAGAAGCTTCAAGACAAAGGAAACGAACTTGAAGAAAAAACAAAGGAGCTCCAAGAAAAAGAAAGGACTGTTCAAGAAAAGGAAGAAGAACGACAGGTCCTTGAAGATCAGTTACACAAAGAAATTCTCTCCTTTTGTATTCTTCCTCCTAAACCTTCACACGACGTCGCAAGTCGCGATTCTGAGGTGGCTGAAATTATGCAACAGCTCAAACAGCTTAAAAGCACAAATAAAAACAATTTAAGTTTTCTGTACATCTCCGGGAATCCTGGAAGTGGAAAATCTCAACTAGCCGGCCTTGTAGCTGAGCGATTCTTTGACGAAGGTAAAGAAATTCCGTGTACTACTTCATTTGTAATGACACTGAATGCTGAAAGCCAAGATGCCCTTCTGGAATCGTACACCTCTTTCGCTCGACGACTCAAGTGTTCAGAATATGCAGTTACAAACATCCTTAACTCCAAGGATCTGACGACTGAAAAAAAGATCACTAATCTGATGACGTTAATTGGCACAAAAATCGACCTTTACACGTCCTGGCTTCTGGTGGTGGACAACGTCACTAGCATATCACGTGTGCATGCTCATCTACCGGAGTCTGGAAATGAGCAGTGGTTAAGGGGCCAATTGGTAATCACAACACAGGACACTGCGTCCATCCCTTTGACGAATTCTTTCATCGAACACATCTCAGTTAGCAAAGGTATGAAGCCTCGCGACGCCAGTCGTTTATTAGCAAAGCTTTCTGGTATAGATGACAGCGAGAAGGGAAATGAAGTAGCGCAAGTACTGGACTACCAGCCTCTTGCCTTGGCAAGCGCCGCCACCTATGTCAGACAGGTTCGGCAGAACAAGGCAACGTCATATTTTGGCTGGAACGACTACCTGGAGAAGCTTAACAAGGGCCACCGAGGTACTACTGAAACAATCCTTGCTACGACTAATCCAAGCTATACAAACACCATGAGCAAAGCAACAAGACTGGCTGTTGAAAAGGCAATGACGTCCGACAAAGTGATACATCACACGTTCAGTCTCCTCTCGGTGTGTGCAACAACACCATTAAGTCTAGACATCGTGATCAGATACATTCTCAACGTTGATGACGAAATTAAAGACAAAGAAATGATTGCTATGACAATTCAAAGATGCTCACTGCTATTATTTGGGGTGGAAGAGGAGGGTAGGGCCTGCATTCGAGTACATCAGATAGTGAGTGATGTCATAGATTCTTTGATGAGAGGTTTCCCAAAGACTCAACAACTTCAAACTGTAGATGTCGCCATTATATCATTCATCCAGTTCGTAGAAGACGACCTATCAATAAGGTGGTTCGACCGAGATTCTTTTAAATGCAGCAAGCACCTTGTCCCTCATTTAAGGACCTTGATTTCAAAAGCTGAACATTTGTTTCGTGAACGAGACATTTCTCAAAACCCCAAAAGCGGTGAAAGAAATGTTCAGAATTATCTGTCTTCATTTACAAAGCTTGGAGAAATGTGCCTCACTCATGATGTATTCGACGCAGCAATAAAGTACTTTAGCCTGGCACTACGATTCGCCCAGCATGTTGATGAATATAATCACAAATATGTCGCAAAGTCCTACAATAACCTGGGTTCAGCACACCACGCCCTGAGTAACCTGGAGAAGGCATAAGAGTATCATGAACGTGCAATTGCCGTTAGTCTGGAAAAACTCGGTCCTGATCATCTAGATGTCGCAACGTCCTACAATAACCTGGGGGAAGTACACCACACCCTGGGTGACC